TAGTGTGCTGTGTGTCACCGAGATTCACCAAGGACTGTCCATTGGTTGATGACGTCCAAGCTGGTACAGTACCGAGCCTCTTGTGTCTCAGTTACCAAGAGAGATTACAACCTCTTCAGTTGCTTAGTTTATACTACTGTACAAGAATTTCTGGAGTTTGATGATAATGCGGCGTCAGGGTACACACCATTTTAACGCCACCACCCCACTAGTGTTCACAGTCCTCAAGTTAAAGAAGCCAGAGAATTGTTTAAGCTAACTTCTTTAGATTCAGAGTTGTAAATTCTTGAGATGTCCTGCCATAAAATATTGTACGATACATATGATCGTAATAACTTCACTAATTTTCTATGTATATCAATTATAGTTTTAATAATAATCTCTCTCTCTCTATCTTTCTGTCTGTTGCTGCTTCTACTTCATTCAGTACACATGTATAAATTCTCTATAGCTATACCTCACACTATTACGAGACCTATATCAAGCTAGGACAAGGCTAGGTTTAAGTTAGGTTAGATAAACATCGAACTAGTGATATGCTGTTACTGTAAATTATCGTAGTCACCGCTAAAGTGTGTCTCATATCATCGTTTTCTTTAACCCTCTAAATACACCCCCCATACGTTTTCGTTGTGCGAAACGTCTATCAATAGAAAGATACGACTCATATAACGTTTAGTTAGTATACAAATCATCTTTAGTATGGAATTAGGCTCCACCATTCATAGGTTAGATTAGGTTTAGGCTTGGCTAGGCTACTCCGTTAAATGGTTAGGTTACAGTAGGTTAGGTTAGGTTAGGCTAAGCCGTTAATTGGTTCTACATTCTTCTGGGACAACAAAGGGTGAGGGGAGGTTACAGACCACCACCACCATCACCACCACCATCTGGAATATGGCCCTAATTGCAATTCTTGTTCAATTTTGCTTATATTTTCACCATAAGTTTATCTTGTGGAACTTATAACATGGTGATCACATATACCAAGTTCAGTGCAAATCCGCAGACGCGTTCTAGAGTTATTTTGGAGACAGACAGACAGACAGACAGACAGACAGACAGGACAAAATAATTTACCCTATTTTGCAGTTTCTAGCAGTGTAATCTAACTTAACACAACCTAACTTAATTTAAACTAAACTTACCTAACTTAATTTCAACTAAATTTACCTAACCGAAACTAGCCTAACTAATACTAACCTAACTTAACTTAAATGAACCTAATCTACCCTAAACTAACCTAAGTTAACCCCCAAATAGCATTAGGATGGTTAATCTTCAGGTAAAATAAGCTGGGATGGTTAATCTTCAGGTAAAATAAGCTGGGATGGTTAATCTTCAGGTAAAATAAGCTGGGAGGGCGAATCATCAGGTAAAATAAGCTGGGAGGGCAAATATTCAGGTAAAATAAGCTGGGAGGGCGAATCTTCAGGTAAAATAAGCTGGGATGGTTAATCTTCAGGTAAAATAAGCTGGGAGGGCGAATCATCAGGTAAAATAAGCTGGGAGGGCAAATATTCAGGTAAAATAAGCTGGGAGGGCAAATCTTCAGGTAAAATAAGCTGGGATGGTTAATCTTCAGGTAAAATAAGCTGGGAGGGCGAATCATCAGGTAAAATAAGCTGGGAGGGCAAATATTCAGGTAAAATAAGCTGGGAGGGCGAATCTTCAGGTAAAATAAGCTGGGAGGGTTAATCTTCAGGTAAAATAAGCTGGGAGGGCGAATATTCAGGTGATCCAAAATATTTACCTTTCTTATTTCACAACCTATTACTCGACACAAATCTTTACTTAACTAAATCACCTAACCTAACCTAATCTAACCTAACCTAACCTAAACCCCTAGATAGTGGTTAGTCTTCCGGTGAAATTAATCAGGGAACCGGATGAAATTTCTTATCTACTGTAGTATATCCGTTATTTTTCTATATTTATTTTTTATATTTTTTTTACGGGGATTAGCCCACCCGGGCACAGGTCACTGACCCTCATCGGGGCCTGGGGCGGGTATAATAATAATAATAATAATAATAATAATAATAATAATAATAATAATAATAATAATAATAATAATAATAATAATAATAATGATAATAATAATAATAATAATAATAATAATAAAGAACCATAAAGATATACAAAAATAAAAAAAAAGATCAAAAGTGAGAAACAATGTATGTATGTATGTTGTGTTGTCAATAGTAAGAGAAATAATTGAGACCCTGCAATTGTGTGTAAATGAGGCAGAAAGTCAGATGAGCAACCTGGGACTTGGTCACAAGTTTTGTGATGCCATATGGCAGCAGAGTCTACCATTAGACAACATGTTATGCTTCCAATATCTTTCCAGGCGGTAGTACCTCCCTGTTTGGTAGCTGCCTAATACCTACCTTACTTAGAGGACTAGATAAGAATTGCTCTCAACTCAGAGGCCATCGCTACCTCTACCTCTACCTCTTGACCATGATTTTCCATAGTTAGCTCATTCGTGACAATTTAAGACTTATAGGACACTGGAAATTAATCCCAGTTTAGTGGGGGTTTCCTGACACGCCGGAAATACTTCGCCCAAATTCTGGCAACACTGTCAATGACTTTCTTAACTGTGTATTATTATTACTATCATTATTATTATTATGATTATTATTATTATGATTATTATTATTATTATTATTATTATTCAGCTGTACTTACTATATTACATAACCCACGTAAATATGTTTCAACATATTCCGTAGTTCTCCCTGGAAGGTGTCGTCAGTCTGAGGGAATTTACGTGAACAAAATACCCAGCTGGGACAAAATTGGTTTTTTGGAGATATACAAAGTTCCGAAGACAGAATTCAAGGGAAATATTTTCAACTCTCACATGTTACTTAACCCCTTGAGTACGATGATTTAACTCCTTGACTATGATGACTTAACCCCTTGAGTACGATGACTTTACCTCTTGAATTCTAACGTAACGTGAAACTTATATGTGACCTGAAACATGATGCTACTACTTTTACTAGTAGTAGTAATAATAATAATTTTAATTATGATGTTAAGGATAATGATATTAATAGTAATAATAGTAACAACAGCAACAGCAGCAAAAAAAATTTAATAATAATAATAATAATAATAATAATAATAATAATAATAATAATAATAATAATAATAATAATAATAATAATAATAATAATAATAATAATAATGAAGGTAGTGGCCGAGTAGATATAATGCTTGCTTCATGTCCCTGGTTGGCACCCAGTCCAATTACAATTCACTCAGCTTTCCATGGTACTTTATTTTACAATTGGGGAAGTGAAGGTAGTCTAGTGCAGTGCTGGCCACACTGCCTCCTTTACTTCCGAAATATTGAGTATGCATTCTACTGTATTCACACTGCCCCTAACTGGTCGTCGGGTATATGGGACTCAATTTCAAGTGTATGCCTAGAGTCCTAGACCTAGAAAATGATGGCCAGAATTTTTTCCCAATTGGTAATTCACGATGAAGAACGTACGTAAGAACGGACGACATGAATAGCATTGCATAATGGAAGTGAAACATCACCCATTAACAAGACAAACCGGGAAGTTCACGGGATGGGAGCGTGAGTGTCCCTAACAGAGAAGGAGAGGAAACAATAACATCCTGCCGCCATATTGCCTCTCGATTAATTTGTTCCCATTCATTAAAAAAATATATTTTCTAATTCTTTTGGAAAACATTACACAATATTATCCGCTTTATATATAGCACCGGTTAACTTACGGCCATTATAATAATTGTTCAAACAAGATTAGCTCACGCAAGTTTTGTTGTTGTTGACGTAAACACCCGTAAGTGGTATCATTTTGTTTTTATCAATGACGGGCGTTACCGTCTACTAGCTGCGGTGATGAGGTTTGACAGGTTTATGACGGCCAAGAGACGGGAAGGGAAGAAGACTGTCCTATGTGGGGGGGCAATAGACGGGAAGCGAGAAAGACTTTACTTGTGAGAAATAACAGACAAGGACAGAGAGACACTGTTGTTTATGGCAGACTATAAATGGAACGTGAAGCAGAGTGGTCTTAGGACAGGCAGTCAGCCACTCAGATAGCCAGTCAACCATTCCAAGTCAGTTAATCAGTCATCCATTTAATTCACCAGTCATCCATTCAATTCACCAGTCATCAATTCAATTCAACAGTCATCCATTTAATTCACCAGTCATCCATTCAATTCACCAGTCAGTTAATCAGTCATCCATTTAATTCACCAGTCATCCATTCAATTCACCAGTCATCAATTCAATTCAACAGTCATCCATTTAATTCACCAGTCATCCATTCAATTCACCAGTCACCCATTCAATTCACCAGTCATCCATTTAATTCACCAGTCATCCATTCAATTCACCAATCATCCATTCAATTCACCAGTCATCCATTGTACCAGTCAACCATTCAGTTATCCATTCACACAGTCATTCACCTAACTCCTCCATATGGCCATTAGATAAGCCTCTTTTGATTTACAGGGTAATTGATTCATCCATTAACTGATTGATATAATTTATACAGTCAGATCATCATAGCAAGCTTGTTATTGATCCAACATGCAAAACACGACAGCCTTAGTGTTAGTATTTGCTACAGCTGAAATTTTCGACATCTTGGGTATAATATTTTGTATCCGCTGTAGTTTGTATCTCTTATAAATTGTAACCCATATTAATTGCACTCCATATTAACTGTATTCCATATAGCCTACACTGTACTCCAAATACAGTAGTCTACACTGTACTCCAAATAAACTGTACTTCATATACATTATACTCCATATAATCTGTATTCCATATAGCCTACACTGTACTCCATATAAACTGTACTTCATATACATTATACTCCATATAAACTGTACTCCCTATAGCCTACACTGTACTCCATATACATTATACTCCTTATAAACCGTATCCTCTATGCGCTCTACCCTACATAAACGGTGAGAGATGCGAATTGACTGACCTGTAGTCTGAAGATGTCCGCTACACACAAAGCGACGTGAGTCAGTGTGGGTGTGAGGCTGGTGGCGTCTACTAAGCTGGCTTGTCTGGTTGCTTCTGCCTCTTGCCTTTCGTCCCCGGGGATTGGGGGGTAGAGGGGGTGTTATAAGGGTGGGGAGGAGAAGGAAAAGGAAGGGGAGGAGTAGGAAGGAGAAGGAAGAGGGGCGAGGAGGAGGAATAGGGGTGAGGAGGAGGAGGAGGAGGAGGAGGAGGAGGAGGAAGGTGAGGAATAGGGGTGAGAAGTTTTAGTTTAACAAATTTATTGGCAGAGCTTGTAGTACAGTTTGCCTATTCTGAGTAATTCTGTCAGGTCTTGACACTGAGGGTGGTATCACTTCTCACTGCCACGCAGGACAGAGGTTCATACATAAAGAAATACATCATATTCATTAACAGCTATAAATGTATAGAGGTCAGATTCATGTGGGTAATGTCACTGTTCACTGCCATGCAGGACAGAGGTTCGTACACAAAGAGATGCATCATATTCATTGACAGTACATATACATATATGTACACACACACATACACATATACATACATATACACATATACATACACATATACATGTACATATATATACACATATGCACACATACACACACACATACATACATACATACATATACGTCGGTCAGATTCATGTGGGTAATGCCACTGTTCACTGCCATGCAGGACAGAGGTTTGTACACAAAGAAGGAAATACATCACATTCACCAGCAGCATATATAGGTCAGTGGATCACATACATTGGAGTCATATTCTAATTGAAGACTAATCAGTGTGGGCTAGCAAATTTGGGATAAACAGCAAGAATGTCCTCAAGCACACCTGATTCAATGAAGTAATTGCATAGTTCAAGATACAATAAGTCAGGTGGCCTGAAGTCTTTGACAGTGTCACATTCAATAATATAGTGTTCAAGTGTATGCTTTAAAGGTTTATCACAAAGTTTACATGCTGAGTGTTCCGGTATGGGTACAGCGTTACTAACTTGCCAGAGTGTCTGTATCCTATCACATTGTCTGGTTCTGTCCTTATGCTGGCCATACCGGTACCTCTTGTCACAAAATGTGTCATATTTACTAATGCTACAACTGTCAGGTCTCTCTGCATTTCTCACTTCTTCTGGGTCAGAGTTCATGATTCTGACTTGAATGTTTTTAATTACAGCATTGGACAAGCCAAGATCACGGTCAACATTTTCCTTCTTACATGCCTCATTGGCCAGTCTATCAGCACGGTCATGATACCTGATTCCAACATGGGACGGAATCCACACAAATTCGACACGAAAGTTGTTCTCATTGGCAGTCATCACGTTCCTTTTAATATCACATACAACTTTAAACATAGAGCCTGACGGGCTGTTCATTGATTTCAAAGCACTTTGAGAGTCACAGAATATCACCCCACCTCCATTTTCTTTGAGGTAGTCTGTGGCTAAGTAGATTCCAGTTAGTTCAGTTTGTGTTGTGCTGGCCCAGTTGTTCAGCCTTTGTTTGTTTGACACTATCATCTCTTTTTCTTTATATATTACAATTGCACAGCCTGTTCTACCTGTGTTTGTCTGCACAGAACCATCAGTAAAAGCATAACATTCACTTGATTTAATACTCTCTATGTGTCTGTTAATAGTTTCTAGTGTGACACATCTCACCACATTGGTGTTTAACATTTGCTTACTACCAACAGGAGTGTAATTAATAGGAACTGATATGTCCAGCCAAGGAGGAATGGCATTAATAGGTTCGTCTGGGGTGATTGGGACATTCAGTTTCAAGAGATCTGCAACACTTTTATGAAGCCACGCCCCAAAGAGAGTCTTTTGTGGAAGGTTGGCGAGATGGTTGGGATTACTTAGATAGAACATCAACTCAGTTTGAGCTGTAGTTTGAGAACCATTGTTCTTCAATACTTTGACACAAAACATGGTATTAAGTAGAGCTATCCTCTCAGATAGGGAGGGCAGTCCGAGCTCTTTCCTCATGCTTACAATTCTGGTTGATTTTGGGCAACCTAGGATGATGGGCATGGCTTCATTTTGAACTACCTCAAGGCTGTTGAGTTGTTTAGGCGGAATAGTCACAAGATGGAGAGCATGATAGTCAACTACAGAACGAATGAAGTGAAGATAGAAAGTACGAGCATAGGTGATGTTAATTCCATAGCCCTTGCCAACAAGGGTTCTGAGGGGTTTAATGCGCTGCATTAGTTTGTCACGAAGGTTGCTGACAAAGTTTGCATCATTCACACAAATTCCAAGATATTTATAGGAGCTACATAGTTCCAAGGGCATGCTATTAATGTTATAGTCAAGAGGCAGAGGGTGAGCAGGACGAGGATTGAGGTCCCTCGTCTTGTCAACAGATATTATGAGACCACATTCAACAGTTCTCCGAGTAAATACATCCAGCAAGGCCTGGAGCCTGAGTTTGGTTTGTGTCATAATGCAGATATCATCAGCATAGCATATTACGGCTTCGTTTGGCTGAACTGGAATGTCAGCAATAAGCTTGTGCATCAGTATATTAAAGAGCATAGGACTTAACACTCCTCCCTGAGGCATGCCAAGCTCAAATGATCTCATTCTGGTACTTTAACTCCCCTAAACAGAACACTGGCATACCTGTTGGACAGATAACCCTTTATCCATGTCAGGAGGTTACCTTGGATGCCAAAATTAGCTAGTTGCTCAAGTATAATGTCTCTATTAGCTACATCAAAGGCTGATTTAAGGTCTGTGAAGGCTGTTTGTGTCTTATCTTTTGAGTGAACAAGATATTCTGCAAAGCATGTCTGTGTGCTACGCCCGGGCATGAACCCGTACAGATTAGGGGCGAGTTTGTCTTTGACTTGAAACATGAGACGGTTTAGAACAACTCTTTCAAGGACTTTACACATACAGGATGTGAGTGAAATTGGCCTGAAGTTTGGAGAATTAGCTTTAGGGATTGGAACTATGTTTCCATGAGTCCATGTCTTAGGCAGAATACCCTGTGTGAGGCTCATTTGATACAGGTCAAGCAGTGGATGGTTAGGGATCTCATTCAACAATCTCAGGGTGTTACAGGTTATGCCATCCTCACCAGGGGAGGATGACTCACCTTTCATTAGTGCTGTTGTTAGTTCGTGGTGCGTTATAGGAAACTGGTCGGTAAGGTCTGGTGAGGAACAGGCTATTTCAATATTGAAGCCCCTATTAATGTGTGAGGTGTTAAGATATTGTTGTATGTCAGGAGGCAGGGAAGTGATTTGTGACACACTAGACCATTGGTCTAATAGCATGTCAGCATATTCTGCAGGGCTGTGATGAAGCTGGACTGGGGTGGGTGACTTGGTAATGGCTCTAATTTTGTTCCACACTTCTGCTAGAGTGGTTGTTCTATTAATCCCCTGTAAGAATTGTTCCCAATAGGTGTTTCTCACCTGACCTTTGAGTTCACGAAATTCTCTGTTAGCTTTGAGGAATGCCAAGAGGTTATCACTAGTTTTATTTTGCTTATAAGTGTTGGCAAGCTGTTTTACATTCTCTCCTTCTTTGGTGAGGATGGGGTCATGTGTCCACAGAGGTGGTTTAGTGCTGGCCCCCTTCCTCCTTGACTTAACCCAGGTGGTATAATATGTGGTAATGACATTTACAAGATCACAGCAAAATTCATCCACTGACCCAGGTGTATATCCAGCATACCATCTGTGGATGTAGGCCTTGAAGTGCAGTTTAAGATTATCTGGGATATTAATTCTGAGCTTAGGATGGGGTTCACACTTGACATCAGCAACAGTGTATTCAGTAAGTATTGCATAATGATCACTGACTAGGTGGCCTGAGATGACCTTAGCCTTGACATTACTGTCTACTAGGTTATACCCAATCACATAATCAAGTCTGCCCCCCCTCAGATGTGTCACTTTGTCTGTGTCGTATACAGTGATATTATGATTATTGATGTAATTCACGAACACCCTCCCATTAGAGTTACACTGGACATCACCGAGGACAGTGTGACGAGAGTTAAAGTCACCCATACACAGCATAGCATTGTTACCTGATGGCTTTGGTAACACGTCCGCTCGCAGTTCATTACACCGATCATAGATGTTATACAGCGAAAATTGACTGTTTGCTGTCTTTACTGTAAATTGTTGATAGTGAATACTTTCATCATTGTGAGTTTTAATCCATTTACAGACAAGACCATTCTTTACATAAGTGAGCAGGCCACTTCCTGCTCCACTATTATATGCTGTAAACCCAGCTATCCTGGGTGCAGCTTTCTGTGAGAAGGAGGAGGAAGAGGAGAGGGAGGATGGAGGGGAGGGGGAGGAGGAAGGTGAAGAGGAAGAGGAGGATGGAGGGGAGGGGGAGGAGGAAGGTGAAGAGGAAGAGGAGGATGGAGGGGAGGGGGAGGAGGAAGAGGTAAGGATGAGCGAGGAGGAAGAGAGGTAAGGATGAGTGAGGAGGAGGTTTCCTTATCCTTCACTGTTTTCCATCCACACACACATATATATGTGTTTGTATATATATATATATATATATATATATATATATATATATATATATATATATATATATATATATATATATATATATGCTGATAACCACAAGGAAAGAAGAAAACACGAAGTTTCCAAGCGCTTTCGTAAAATTCACATCTTCAGGGGTGGGTACAGACTAAGGAGAAGTACAAAACAAGGTGTATATATACAGAGGAGGGTAAGATTAATACTCTACCCTATGATACTGTTCATGAAAAGTCTGGAACTAGGCCTAAGGTAGCTGCTAGACAAAATGTCTCACTGACAGCCTGACACTCACCAAAAAAACCATGTACACATTCTCTAACCTAACCTAACATACCATAACATAACCAAACCAAACCTAACCTCTAACCTATTGGTATAATTTCTTATTTAAATATTCCTCATGTTCTAACTAAATTAAGTAGGCCCCACGTTTAAACATTTATTGGCCTAAGACTGAAAAGCAGTTATATAGGCCCCTATTAATCAAGTTAATTGCAATCCATATTTTACGCCTAAT